TGAGGAAAAAGTCCTTAAAAAGTCAGATAATTTGATGAGGAAAAACACCCCCAAAAAAACCTTATTGGGATATTAAATTTTCTTCTGAAGCAAATTATACTTGACAAAAATACTTGTAATTAGAGCATTTATTTACACTAGTAGTTTCATCTTAAATGCCTTTTTTTTTTTAAAGCAAGAAGGGAGAATAACTTCACTGTCTAGAACCTTAGAAGAATAGGAAAGTTAGTCCTATGACTTGATTTTGTTTCAGCGGTGAACTGCTTACATTTCTGTAGCAAAATCCTGTTTTCTAAGAGTTGACAACTCAATATGATTAAATCAAATACATCTCTCCTCTTTCAACTCAATTCCCAATAACCAGCGAAAATGTGTAGAAACCTAGCGCAGGACTGCGTATTTAAAATTTAGGTAAACGTTTTACTGTAGCAATTTTTAAAGGGTGGGGTTGATGGGGTTATTTGGTGGTTTGTATTGAGAAGGATTTCCAGCAGAAGAAACAAGAGTTGCAATACAGGGAGGTTGTTCTTTTTTTCTCCCAGCAAAATGAAGGTCTTTAAAATGGGAATTTCATGCAGTTTCCTAAAATGGCTCTGCTTAGCCATTAATGTAATTTATATTTAGCACAAGACCACAAACAGGCAGATTGCTAGACTAGACTGTTTCAGGGAAGAGCAAACCACTCTGACTCTTTACTCAGTGTTGCTAAAATAAAGTGCACAGCAGCAACATTGGAAATGTATTTTTCTATTTTGTGTTCATTTCAAACATGCTGGCTGAACAAACTATGTTGGAAAACTGCGAAGAGACCCAACCCAGCCTTAAGTAAAGCAATCAGTAGAACATCCTTAGCTAAGCTCAAGAGTAACACTCAAATGGATGGCTTCAGTTTTGATGTTAATAGTCTGCCTCTACACAACAAACCTTCACAAAAAGCGATCTGCACGTGGCAACACACGAGATAACTGCTCCTCTTTATTTTTGCGTCGTGCTACTGGGGCCAGAACACTGAACACGAAGTACAAATACCCTTAAAGTAATGGGCCTTGGACCAAGTTGCCCTTGGTGTGGCACTTGCTCACAGAAAAAGAACTTTGCCTTTGACCTGTATGAAGCCATTAAATAACCCAAGTTTGCCAATTAGCTCAGTGTTCCTAAATTTATGAAGCTTCATAAAATCATTTATTCTTACAATAGTCTTTAACTGGGGAGAAGGCCTTTCTTCATGTGTATCATAAAACATTTACTGTCTCAGCATTCCAATTTTTTTGTAAAAGTGAAAGCCATTGAAATACGTTATTAATTTTGAAGGCATTAATTAAAAACACTCACTGACTTCAAAAGCATCTTTAAAACAAAGAATCCTGAATGGTGAGGCAGGATTTGCGGTATCTGATGTGACCAAGCTATGTAAATCGACAGAAAAAACCCCCAAAGAGTCTTGTATTCAGAACTGGAACAATGTTAAAAATATAACAGAACACAGCTCAACTCAGAGGCACTTCAAAACTTCCGTGAAAATTCCTAAATCCATTCACACCCCATTTACATTAGAGGAGGGCTATAATTGCACAAATATATGATCACTTCTAGAAATTCAAGCACAACCTACAAACCGCTACTGATTCTGCCCCCAGATGCAAAGAATACAGTTCATTAAAATAAAGATCTGTTGTGCTAATGAAGTCATCAACGGAAGCGATGCTATGTGATGAACAAAAGGCAAACCAACCTGAGAGCACTCCGAGGGGTTTTTTAGTTTGGTTTTGGTTTTTTTTTTTATTGGTTTGGGGTTTTTTTTAAGACACTTGAAAATGAAAATTAGTATAGAGATTATTCCTAAGTCATTATTGCACTTGCTATTTTTCCCCACCTTCCCCATTCTAATATCCAGCTGCCCCACACAAGCCATTGTAACCATTTTCAACAACCTTTGCTGGTCATTCCTACGCAAGGATACGCCACTTTGTTTTTAGAAGTCCACAGAGAGACTTAGAATAGGGAATCTTTTCTACACAGAAAGCTGTATAAATAAAGAACCGAATCTGATCATTTTCATATGCTGCCAGGCTTTGGAAGGATAAATGTTTCCAAAGAGCTGGCGCCTCTGTTTGGGTAGGGGTGAGTGGAATATTGCAGGATTCCCCTTCCCTCCCCCACTGAAGCAGAATCTGGTCTCTATTAAAGGCATTTCAGCTGTAATTCTACTGTCTGAAATAGCCTGATTTTATACGGTGTTGCAATTCCTAAAACAATCATTAACACTGATGAGATCCCGTTCCAGGTCTGGCGATTCCAAGTTTTATTGTCCAAGCTTAGCAGGGAAGAAAAATTTTAAGTTTTAGGAACGATGAAAGGTATATAGACATGATATTAAAAAGGTTATATTGAGGGGATCTTCATCCGTGTGTAGCGTAACATACAGAAAAATTGAGTCAGCACACTTGGAATCCACCTTTTCCAGCTGCCCTGTAAAGCCCTCAAGCACCATCTCTGTAATGCAACCAAAGACACTATCTGACCTCCTGAAATCACACAAACAGTGCACAATACAGCTTAGACTAACGTTTTTATAGCTGTCAGCAACGCAATCGTCTGAAGGGTACAACTGACAAACCGTATTTCCAACCCAACGGAGCATATGAGCACTGGAAAATTCGATACAGGCCATAAATACAACAAACATGGGAAGGCATGTTTACGCATTACTTTCTACTGAGAATTCTATATGATGACCCCGAGCACCTTACATTAAGTGCTCACTGCTTAAAGTTAATTTGATTCTGCCTGAATGCTGCATTAGAATACAACTGAAGTGAAAGTCAGGGAAACAACGAATGGTTTGGAAACCTGATTCCTCCTTAGGAATGCATTGTAAGTCTCCCTCTTCCATGCCCCGCCCCAAAAGATCCTATTTTTATGCAATCCTAAGATTCAGAGTGCAAAAGCTCATCTGTAAACATTCCAGAGGTGTGGCCAGGACATCTTCCCCCAAACACACAAATGAAAACTGAAATGTAAAAACCAGTTATAGAATTACAAGTAATTGAGGCAAAGGTATCTTGGTTATACATATTAAACACGTACAGTAAAATAAAAAAAATAAAGCACGCACAGCAAAATGTATTGCAATTATTAAAACCCTGTATTTGAGGCCACATACGTTTGAAGTACTTTTGACAATGTTTTTCATTTTGCTTAAACATATTTCAAGTCAGTAATTTTTCCTTTTCTTCCTTTCTGTAGGTGATCTATGCCAGTGCTTTAGAGCTGAGACGACAACTGTTGTTGTTTTAAGAGAAAACAGGTACTAGGAGCTATTAAGGACATAATTTCATATGCCTGCTGTCTTATTAAAAGCAAGAGTCTTTTCAGAAGTTACCAAATCCAGCTCCTGAAGCTGGCCAGGGATGTTGCTTTTTGTGTTTGTGTCGTACATTTTGATGTCTGTCATGAAGCCCCAGATGCTCGGTATACCTCAATCTCACTGTTAATTGAAAGAGTTTTGCACATCCTAGCTGCCAATAAGTGTTTTCTGCACTTAGAGGAAAGAGTAAGCCTCGCAGAACTCCAGACGTTGTTTCAGGAAGCCTTTTTTAACCTTCAGCGTTCAGTAAGCACACAGCTGCTTCTCTGTAGTACAAGGAGTGGGGAAGAAGGGCACAGTAAAGGAAAATAAATGAAGAAAAGTAAATTGAGGTCAAGGACATGAGGCCAGGCTTAAAGTTCCCAGTGTTGTTGTCAAAATTGTTGTTCAATACTGTGGCAGGCTGCCACAGATAGTCATGAACAGCTTCATTAATTCTACCTTCCTTTTGAACTAAACTTACAAGCGGGTTCCAGCTATGCTGTGGCAGGCACAGAATGATTCGGGTAATCTAGCTGTTGCTCCAAGAATCCAGTGGCAGCTAGGCCTCCAAGGCAAGGATTTTACCTCTGCTACAGCTGAGACATCTGACCTGGCTACATTGGTGCTTGCAAGGAGACACACACCAGCCAGCCCTTCAAAGCAAGAGATATTATTCTCTGCATCTGCCTTTTCCCTCTCATTCTCCTGCTCAGCATCTTCCATTTGTACTTGGAAGGGAAGAAAGCCTTTCTAATCATCTCAGTTATCAGTAAGGATGCCAGAAGTAGCTTAGCAATAACAGTAATCAAATTTTCTAAAAACCTGAGAAGCAGCAGATTGATCACATTTGACTATAGTAAAGTCAGGCCGTACCGACAACGCAGGAAGTAGGAAACAGTAAGGGAAAGAAATTCAAAGTCTTTCTGCTTTCTCCCTATTCTCTGCCTGACTTACAGCCTGCCTTGACTTGCCAACTCTCCTTACGCGTTACTCGTCCTCGTACAGCTCTTGCCTTTCTGACATCTCAGAGCAGCTGGTTTCCATTCCCTTTTCTGGCTCCTCTTTTCTTGATCCCAGTAATTTCTGCTCTCATCAAGAAAGATTCAAGACTGTGGGGCCCTAAAGAAGCAAAGAACAAGGTAAGGGGGAACTACACCAGTGAAATAAGACTCCCCACTGGCAAGAAAAAGGTGAAAGGAAAATAAAAGTAGCCTGTACAAGAAAGCAGACTGTGGCATCCGACTAAATTCACCAGTAATGCTTCCTGCAACATGGGATGGGATAGCGAGCTACAAAATTATGTGCTCACAGCTCCCGAAGCCTTTCCTGTGTTCATGAGAAACGCATGGGGCAAAAGATCCCTCTCTCTGCTATTGAAGTGTCCTTTGAGAGAGAGATGGCAGCTCTGAACAAATGTATCATTACAGCTTAAGTATCCACAGAAAAGGCCATCTACAGAAAGGAAAAAAGGATAAAAATCAGAGAATTCTTATCGAAACTTCAAAAAACTTGAAATTCATTTTACGAGAGCTAAAACCAATGCATTTTGCGATTTTTACATGACAACACCAAACAGCGAACAGAAAACACACAACATTGTACAAACAGACAAATAAATGGAAACAATCTAAAGTTTTGGGAAAGTACTAACCAGTTACTGACAGCAGCTGTGAAACCCTCACCTCCATTTCCTCCCGATGAGACCTGTCTCTATCCTCGAATTCACGAGTTCTTCGCCGAGCTTCTTCAAAGGCTTGTTGTGCCAATGCATCCTCCTGCTACCAAACCAGACAACACAGAGTGACACAAAAGGCTGCCCCTCATTTCTACCAGATCACATTTTGTTTGAGCATTAGGCAGCACAGACCAGTACCGTCCTACACAATCTGCTAGAACACAGATGAGTTCCAGCAAATGCCAATATAGGTTAATGAAATGATACTCACCTTCATCAATGCAGTAGTGAGAACCAAAGCTGCAACACACAGCTACTACTAAAATACCTTTTCAAAGGAGAAGTGCTTTTCAAAAGTAGTTTAAAAAGGTGCTTTTTTTTTTTTAAAAGCTAGGAATTCTCAAAAGTTAATGAAAGAGGCAATACATTTTATTCTCCTTATAAAAGTAATTTTGAAGGCAGTATTAGCAGGTATATCCAGACAGAGTTCACTAGTATCATTACAGAAATAAGGGTAGATTAATTCTCTGCCATCTAAAAAAAAGTATTATCTAAGTTACAAACCAAGAAATCCTCCATTTTATCAAATGTTGCTGAAGGTGCATTAGCATGAACATTAGTAATCCTTACGGCTCATTTAAATTATTTAAATTTAGATGCATAAGAAAGCGCAAAGCAGAAGTTATTCCTCCATGAATTCATACACATTCACATACAATGCAGAAGAAACCTGCAGGCTTTCAACAGCCCCGTTGTTTATTTTGTTTTCAACAGTGGCTGATGCACAGAAATAGATATACTAAATCAACGCTCAAAAAATCCTTCGAATTGTATTTTTCAGTTAGAAAAGGTTTTAAATAAAGTGTTATTCATCTGTAAGCCATTATTAATTGGGTGACAAATTATTTCTCTTAGAGAGATCTTTTAGCACGTATTTTGCTCAGAATGCAAATAGATAGCTCTCTTCCCCAGCAGACCCTTAAAACATTCAGAATGGAGGAATCAAGTCTAAAGAGGTTCCACAAAACAGTACAGGATAAACTGCGTTGCTTCTCCCCGCTCTAACTCCTCAGCTGTAACTACTACTAATTCTGCTTATGACTCCCACATCGGCATAAACATTATTTTCAAGTCAATAGATTAAAAAAAAAAAAAAAAAAATCCTAACCTTGACTGTCAAGATGACAAAAACATGTTGAGAACCCAACTAAATTTTAATATGCCAAGGGATTAAGTGCATAAATTTTTTAATTTAAGATAAAGCATCTCTAGTCTGAGAGAATGCTAAATTGCTTTTTTTGCCATCGGCACAACCGTGCACCCTGAAGCTACTTTGTGAAATGATGTGAATGAGTGCCCCTCGTGGCCTAACACAGTTAAATACAAACATCTGCCAATCAGTAACTCCGCACAGCCAGGTCCCCAGAAAGCTGTGTTTGAAAGGCAATGTTTAAAGCTGCCAGTAAGATAACATTTTAACACTACCTACTATTTTTAAAAGTAGAATTTGGCCTTTTATAGCTATCTTAAGTTTGTGCAATGCATAGCAACCAAAGTCAGACAGTGGAAAGAAAGTTTGTTCTTAATAATGCAGAAGGAGAGAGATAAAATAGATAAGCTTGTCTCCCAGATGACTACAGAAAAGCTGCCTTATTCCTACTTCACAAGAGCTATGTATGTCTTTATTACCCTCTTTTTTTTTTTTGAACAGACTTAAATGAAAGCAGATTTTTTTTTTTAGAAAAGATTTTTGCATTTTACCATCATTTAAAGCGGTTGTGAAATAAAAGGCTAACATACAGCCTCAGCCAGAATATTTTAAAGAAACAGTCATAACCGAAAGAAACCAAACTGGAAATTCAGAAAAGAAGAATCAGTATGTTGACATCCAGAATGAACACGTGTTGACAGCTGAAACACTGGCTTACTGATCTCTGAGAAAGTGGGGGGAAAAGCATCAGAACATATTTTTTTAAGTAAAAAAAAATAATTCTGCTCTAATCCTGGTGATGTGTTGTAACAAAAGTTAACAAACATCTCAGGATCTTGTCCAATAGGAATTTAACAAGTTTTTTTTTCAAGTGTCACTCAAACCTAGTCATTATAGACCAGGGAATTCAGCTGCCGAGTTATCCATCTTAGCTTTAATCAGCAAAAATGTTCCTGGTATGAATCCACTAAGAAAAAGAAGAATAAGCAAAACACAAGCCGTATCAACATGAGAACAGAACAAAACAAACCCCCCAACCCAGAAAAAACAAAAAGCACAAAAGAGAAGCTTAAACACACCCCCTTCCCCAGCAGCCTGGTAGGAAAAGATTTTTATGAGCAACCATTTACAACTACCGAATCTACACAGCAAGAACAGAAGAGATAAGTAAGTACGGAAGACAGGAACAGTCTTTTAATGACGCTCAAGATAAATACCAAATCCAGGGAAGTTTCAGCCCCAAATGGGGAAGACATTCAAGCACGTACATAGAGCTTTATGTGTGTTAGACCACTGCGAAGTCTGAACAAGCAGCTGAATCAGGGCCTCCAGTAACAACAAGTAAGGCTGCTTGGCAGGAAGAGATTAATAGACTGTGAATTAAATAGAAAGAACACTAGCTTTAAATTTAAAGTACTTTATTGTTACACAGGTGGGTTTTTTTTCCTAAAATATTTTTTGACCTGGTGAAGGATACTATCATTTCCAAAGCATGGCAGCAAGCAAAAATTGTATCCAATCCCAGCGTTTGTTAGTAAGAAGCAGTAAGAGACAGGAAAATGCAAGAGCATTACATCTGTATAAGGCAGGCCTTCCAGAAAACAGGAGCAAGGGTTGCGTATGGGGGTGAATGCCAACAGGACCTCTTATACCAGAGGCACCACACTGCACTGTATCAGGCACTTAAACCCCTTCTGCCCTCAGTGTTATTTTAGGATCAAAGTGAGCAGTTAGGTCAGTTGCCACTAGCAATATTAAAACAGTTTTTAAAAAGGAAGCAAAATGGAAGATACATGAGAAAGGAAACTGAAGAATGTAAAAGACTGCCCAAATGTTTACAATATATCAAATGCATACATAAAACCCACAATGCAACATTGAGTGCAGCTACTCCTCTGTGCCTGTACAGAGCCTTACGACACCAGTAACTCTTCAGTACCCCTACTCCTGTAGCAAATAAGATGACCAATAACCTCCTTGTAATTGCCAAGACGCACACAAACTGAAAACAAATTACACCTATAACTGGGTGCAAATGTATCTCTGTAGATCCACACTGCGCAATACTTCCAGCTCAGCACCCTGTACTCAAAACTCAAGAAAGCACCAACACCTGAGAGCGTGCATACATTCCCTCATAAAAATAAAAAAATAATTAATTGCATGCTCAGCGCACAAATACTTTCTGAAGACAGCAAAAAGGAATTCTTAAGTGTAGTTAGTGCATACGCATCGGGAAGCTGAAATAATCAAAGAGCGTGCAAAAATACTTATGGGGAAATTCAAAAGAAAAATTGAACCCACCTGACCACCCTCCTTTTTGGAAGGATGCCCACTTTTTTCAGGAACTATCCAGTTTTGGAGAACACTGACACTATCTCCTTCTGAGCGCATGTTCAGATCAGTCTCCTCTCAGTCCAGAAGTCATGTGACTGAGCATCCCATATCAACCTTTACTGTCATAGATCAAGAATCTCGGGATTTGTCTTGCACAATCCTCAGGGGTCTACATTTGGCCTTGCTCTGTCAGCCCTTACAGTCTAAAGGCCATCTCATCAGCAGAGCCTACGGCAGTTACTCTCTTCCCAAGGAACACACTGCTGCAACAGGAATTTAGCAAGCTCAAATGCCGACACCCAGCTTTGGAAGAAGCTAATGCCACAGCAAATAGTAGCATTCAAGTAAAAGCTTGGTTCTGTGGCTTTTCTGGTGGATTAACAAAAGTTGGCAGGACTACTCTCAAAATAGAATACCCTCCCTTTCTAGGTAACCTGAAGAAAGCATGCAGGGCTGTAACTATTTCAAAGACACTGTTTTGAGTATTTTGATTTAACCCAGAACACAGTCACAATAAGATGATCTCAATTATCTGCAAATTGGTTTCTTTACATAGGGAGAGGCAAGGCACCACAAAGCTTGCCATACAAATTGCCATATAAAATTTGAATACTTCCAGCTCTTGAACACAAATTAACCAATACGCCCTCCAGTTCTGCACGCCTGGAGTAGAGGAACACTCTTTGCATTTAGGTGGAACTAAAGGCTTCCTCCCTGTCAAGTAGTGACCAACTGTGGCTGCAGAACGACTAAAAGGGAAGCTGCAAGGAAGTGAGGGCTGTGAACGAGGGGCACACAGTGGAAAGAGAAAATGTATCCTTATTTAACTCAGCTCCAGTGCACGACTGCCAGAAGCAATCCCCCAGCAGACTTTGTACCTCACTGAGGGGGGAAGAGGGGCATAAAGTAAAAGTAAAGGTAATTTGGAAAAGCAAACATTTTGTATGACACTATAGTAAGTTTTTGCAAAACATCACCTGTATGTCTAAAACACATGAGGTGTAACAAAGACAAAGGGCATCACCGGTGTCACACAAATCAGTCCAATTATTGAGCGAGTTGTTTTGGGCCCCCAAGTTTAAGGGAACAAAAGGAAGGAGATAAAGCAAGCTCCCATTCTATTATGCCATCAAGATGAAAAAGACAGAGTTACCATTTATGAAAACACTGAACAACGGCTCAAAGTAAATGACTCAAGTGTCAGAAAAGTTAGGGGAAGTCACGATGGCCCTGGGTAAAAGAAGTAGTCTTCAGAGAAAAGTTAGGAGAAAATGGCTATATACAGGTACAGATTACATTATTAAGAATCATTTGCTGGAGTACCAATACAGAACGTGGGGAGGGAAAAACAGGCTGCAGGAAATTGCTCACCCTTCTTTTGTCTGCATGCTTAACAAACCCTTGTATTCAGAAGCCCTCTGGACCATGCCTTCATACAGTTCTAACATTTCTAAACTATCAAACTACAGAAATGAACTGCTGAGTTCACCATAAAATACAGATTGTAAAGTTGTAGTAACATCAGTTACGAGAGTTACATCCAATTTACTGCCCACCGCAGAGACAGGTGATCTGCGTGGAAGCCCACATAAACCTGGTGCTTTTAATATCAGTTAAGTATCTTTGTTACCAAGCTATATCTCAAAAGCAAAGCTCTGTCTCGAGTCTGACTAAATTAAGAAACACTACAGCTGTGTAAGTGAAACTTATATACGTGATGTGCACTTAAAGAGTCATTTCCTCTGCGTTTACTCTGTTCTTGTGCATGTCCAAAGATTCAACTGCTAGACAGTCACTTTGGCGGTAGGAAGTAGGTAGATAGGAGGTACGTTTCTAAAAAGCTGCCATACCTTAACAGAGCAAAGAGTCTACTGCTGTTAAGAGAACAATGGAAAAACCCTATTCACACCCCCCATATATAATAAAACAAAAAGCTACTTACAAAAACCACCTTAAAATACACAGCTATAGTAGGCCTGCTGGTTAAATTGTTTCAAGTTACAGACATAGCTTCTCAAATACTTTAAGATTTACTACTCTGAAGCGTAATAACCATGTTAAGTCACCCACAAAGCTGTAAACTGCAGATGATTCCTGCCCCTAATATTTTGATCTAATTAAAACACTAGTTTAGCTACAACCACCTATTTCTGAACTTCCATACTGCAAATTTCCTTTGGAATTTCCACTCAAAGTGAAGACAGAAAACAAGCAAGTGAGAATGTGTGATTGCTACCTGACTGCGTTTTTCCTTCCAGAAGGACAAACAAATGTCTAAGGCACAGTAGCCATGGGCAGACTGTCTTACCTGTGCTCTCTCCTCATCAAATTCCAGGCAGCCCATACCATCCAGTCTCTGTAGATCTATCCAGCCTTTCCAGATTACACAGACACCGTTGAGAATCATAGGTGCCTTCAAGTACACCTGAAATAAAAGCAAAACCACATGCTATGAATTTGAAAGCATTTACAGACATGCCTGCACAATGAAAATACCGATGCAGGAAGCTTCTATATGTATTCTTAGAAGAACATCCAAACCAGCCGGTAACATGAGACTCCACTTAACAGCTTCTCCTGCCTCCTTTCCAAGACCTCGTTTTAATCAAGTGAGTGCTGTAACTTTTGCCTACTGTACTGGATGGAATAAATTTAAGCTGTGTTCTCATTTTATAAACTGGTGTGCACTGGGATTTGGTTAGAACTCTGTAACTGCTTTCAGTTCAAGTAACTGTTTTTCTTGTCAGCTTACCTTCGTGTCACAAGAAGTGGCACGCTGCCAGACAGGGAGGATCCTTTAGAGCACGTTTAAAAGGTTAAACACACACATGCTTTCCTACTCCCAAGCAGCACTGTATTTTACCCCAATACACCAGCTCTTTCAACAAAGAACAAACATCAGCTTCAGTCCTCCTCAAACTTACCAACTAGTCAGAGTTTAGCAAAACACGATAGATACACCACACTAATAAATAAGAAGGTCTTCCTGTGTCTACTCTAGCATTTGCAGGGGGCTTTTCCAAAGAAGCAACACCAGATGATCAAAACCCATCCACAGCATCAACGCGCACGGCGCCTTGTACTGCAGCAAGGAATAAAGCATCAGCCGAAGGCCCTACATCTAGATAACGGTAGATGATACAGTGATTTAAAGCAGAAGTATTTCCCCTTCTAAAGGCCAGAGATTGATCTCCACACAGGAAATTTAAAAAGCAAATAAAACACTAAAGGAGGTTGACACCCTTTATTTAATGACATCAGCCTTAAAAAAAGGGCAAAATTATCAAGTCAAACCCCTCATGATACTGAAGCTTGCCAGAGGGGTAAACCATGCACTCACTTCAGATTTGAAGACTGACTAGACATTCAAAATCCTGTCGAGTCTTTTTGGTCTTTAGGAGTGACCCAGCTAGGTAGGGGAAATTTTCACACAGCAGCTCCTCTAATAGTTCTAACTTCATCCTCTGGCAAATCCTCATTAAAGTATAATTGACGTTTAGCGCATTTCAAAGACTGTGCGCCTACCTGCTCAGTGCCACACTTCTCAGCTCAGATCACTCAAGCAGAAAAGGGAAAGGCACAGAGTTACAGGAGGTACAGAAGTAAGGGAAGCCTGGTAAAATTAAGCACTGAGCAACATGAAAGGCAATCCGCAAGTGGAAGAAGGGCAACAAATAACATGAAACCAACTGACAAACAAGTAATGTTATTTGCCAAAGAAAACACGTATTTGATCACCGAGCCTCGTTTTTACAACTTATCACACTTCAGTATGAAGTCATAGGCTCCAGAAGTTTTCATTAGCACAGTATGCCGTAGCTCAGTAACCAAGAAACAGAAGTTATCAAGCTATCTTCTTTGTACCAGCTCTCCTACCACCAGGTCTCCACTAAGAAGAGCACAGACTGGTTTTTCTGTCCTGTATTCACAGAGCAGCTATGCAAGCCATCACACCCAGGTCTTCCGTGATGCAGGGTGCAGATCTACCAGCCAACAGCCTTTGCGAGCAGAGGCGTCAGAACCAGCATGAGTAAGATGTGGACTACCAGGAAACCACCTCCCACAGCCCTCATTTCGAGATTAATCATTTCAGACACACAAAATACAACATTACTCCCTTTCAACACAGCCTTCGCTCATTCATCTCACCAGTAATAAATGAAGTACGCACCATCAATTTAATAGATGCATTTAATTGGTTTAGAAGTGAAAAACAGTTAGAGGCTATTAGAATCAGAACTCATTCTCTTTTCAGAAGAATGCAGAATAATTCAAAAGGGGGAAAAAAAAAACCTATGGTTCTGTGAAGATGAAACAGTCTGTACTCTAATGCTAGCTACTTTTTGCAGAAGCAAAGAGGCGCTTTGCTGATCTTCATTTTGGGTTTACATTTCACCGAGCCTCCCCTGTCCTTCCGGCCTGCAAGAAAAGCCTGGAAAAAAAAATAAAATCAAAAGTTGCACAGGACATCCCAGAGATGACAAAAATCTAGCTTTTCCAGTTGTCCAGAACGAGATTATTTTTTGTCTCTGTGACTAGGAATATCACGCTGCCACTAACTGCCTCATTTCGGTGGCCGTTCAATTGCCTTGGCCGCTGCAGCTGCCAGTGCATCACGTGCAAACTTGGTAGCTTAGTGCAAAGCAACAGGCAGCTCAGACACAGCGGCCAAGGGCTCGGCCATTCAAATGCAGTCAATGCCTTCCGCATCACCTGGAAGCCTGAGCAGCGCTGGAAACTCTGTGGAAGCCTTCAGAAGTCAAAAGGGGAAGAGGGAAAGGAGTCGACAGCCGATGTGATGACTGATGCCTGCTATCTGCCCTCAGCACGCTGACCGACAGCCGAGCTGCCGACAAGAGCAGCTTGCAACCCGCTGGCAGGCAGCCTGACCTTTCGAGATAAAGCGCTCTGCCCTTGCTCCTGAATCAGAGCCCGTACAGCCTCGCACCACTGGATTCAGCAGGTCTTCAAAACTCAGATAATAAACATTTTTCACCTCGGAAAGGATGAATTCCTCAGCAGGATATTTGAGTTTTGAAATTATTGTGTAATCATTTGAATTTAGTGTAATTCATATTGAAACCACATGCGCTTATGCAGGAACTTTTCTCTCATTAAAACACACAATAAAGCATACTGGTGGACTTTCCTTTATTTTAGAGAAGGGAATTTAGACTCCTTTTCCTCCCTCTCCTCTTTCTGGAGAATGGAAACCACCTAAGACTGTAGCCAAAACCGTTTAACCACATATTTCCTTCTTTTCAGATAAAGCCATGCTGGTTCCCTTTCAATTTCCGAACTTAACAGAATTATTAATACATTACTGCTCCTCTATGAGCACATGATCTGTTACGGCACCTCAAAAGCCCGCACAAAGTTGTCTTTTAAGAACTTTCAGAATTCTCCATTCTGAAAGTCACCTCAAGACAGTGACAGTAAGAACGCAAAGGCAAAAGCCACGTTATTTCAACAAAGACACCAACTTCCCCCCTTAATATCACCAAGCTATACAATTTGATTGAAAGTAGATAAAAGGATGTCTTTGTCAGAATAACTCTTTCAAGGTT